GCGGGGGTGCCGGGGTGGGTCTGGGGGGCGAGCGGTGGCGGCCGCCTGAGGGTCCCGGGGTCCTTGGCCTGCTCTTTGTTCCAAAAACAGCACGAGCACAGTAACGGCAAAGTAAACGTCCGTGCGGTTCTCCTGCTCTCTGCAATGAAACGTGATGATGGCAGGTGGAGTCCTGGGTAGTTTCTAATGATATGCAGCTTCCAGATGAGAGTGACGCAGTTGTTCAGTAGCCGCTTGCTGTGACACTTTTTTGCATTTGTATGGCTGGTTTTGTAATGTTCCAAAAACAGCACGAGCACAGTAACGGCAAAGTAAACGTCCGTGCGGTTCTCCTGCTCTCTGCAATGAAACGTGATGATGGCAGGTGGAGTCCTGGGTAGTTTCTAATGATATGCAGCTTCCAGATGAGAGTGACGCAGTTGTTCAGTAGCCGCTTGCTGTGACACTTTTTTGCATTTGTATGGCTGGTTTTGTAAGCGAGTTGTCTTTAATTGACTCGAAACTTGGACGGATGCAAGACCGATCAGATGCCTGGAGAGGGTGGAGTAGCCTGGGAGTTGTGAAGAGCCACTGATCTACACAACCAGCGTTCTAGGAAAGGGAAGCATGCTGTGCCCACGAACGCTCATGATTCCATCTGCATGTGTTGTTGGTCTTTAAAGTGCTACCAGACTATTGGTTGTGGGGAGGGAGGGAGGGAGGGAGGTGCCTCATTTTGGGCTGTGAGAAGTCACCAGTCCATACTAGAGATCAATAGCCAGGAATCTATCTCTTGGAGTAATCAGGTGAGTGCTTTAATCACAGATCTATGGGGTAGTCTGATGTGGGGTTCTTAGTCTTTCTCTGTTAAAACTTCTCCACTCTTAATCAGTGCTTAGATAGCTGCACCTCACATCAATATCCTATTTCTCAGTGATAAGAGCATCTTCCTGAGATGCCTGAGCCTTCCTCCCAGGTGACCACTATGCTAAATATTGCAAGATAACCCTGCTTCCTTCAAGTAGACTCTAAATGGGACCTTCTCTGACAGGTACCATCAGTCTATCTACCACATTGGGCTCTGTGCACAAAATAGGCAGATGAATGCTTGTCTTCTCCTGGTTTGTGCCTCGTTCTGGTGTTTAGGCATGCAGATGCATAGAGCGTGGCAGCAGCGTAAGTGCAGAGAGGCTAAAATTTAGATGCAGAGGGAACCTGTAAACTTAGGCCCCAAGTGAATTTAGGTGCTTGTGAGTTTCAGTGGGAGTTTTGTGGATCATGGGTGGCATTTAAAACTGGGGTTTCTGTGCCTAAAACTGAATTTTAAGTACCTAAAATTAGGTTTAGCACCTAAGTACCTTTGTGGTTCGAGGTCTAAATAAGTTGCCCAAGATTGCACACGAAATTTGTGCTAGACGTGTGAATTGAGTCTAGGGGAGGGGTCGGCAACCTTTTCAAACCAAAGAGCCAAACAACATCAAAATTTAGAGCAAGGGGTCAACAAAGTGCCATATAAAAATGCCCGTTTGCATGACTGAAAATATACAACTTGTACTCACAGACTTTATTTAATAGGACTTCTGTACTTCATCTTTTCACACATTTCTTTGACGTTTACATCATAACTGGTCAAATCCAGCTTCATGCACACATTCAGGCTGTCTTCTGTCACTCTTATGGCAGGGGCTGGTGATGTGGGGGTGCAGGAGTCTGGGTTGGAGTATACAAGGGGCTCAGGGCAGGAGATTGGGGTGTATGATGGACTCAGGGCACAAGGTTGGGGTGTGTAGGGTAAAGGAGTGTTATGGCAGAGGACTGGAGATGTGGGGAAGTGTAAGTTTGGGGATGTGGGGGTATGAGGGCTCAAGGCAGTGGGTTCAGGTGTATGACGGGGTGCAGGAATGGTATGACGCTGTGGCCAGATGGGGGCTCAGCCCCAATTGGGTTTTGTTGGCCAGACTTCATTTTAAAATAAAGTAAAATATTATGTGCAACACAAAAGATTTAGGGTAGGAATGGGGAACCTTTTTTGGGTCGGGGCTACTGACCAACAGAAAAATCAGTTTTACAAGTAAGAAGTAAAAAAAAACAAAACACCTCCCTCCCCCCCCCCAACTCTCACTGATGTGACTCCCCCTCCCAACTGAAACACCTCACTCCCTTGGTGCGCCAGCCCCATAGTCAAAATCTTGCAGTTGCCCCCATCAAAACTTATTGCCCACCCCTGAACTAGGCTATATCAGTGGAGGCCCTCTGTCACCGGCTTCCCAGAATACTGCCCCTCCCTTTGGCTGCCTCTGCTCCAGCCCCACTGGCTTGGCTCTCGCCTATTGCTGCCGGCTGACTGGGGCTATCTAGGGAGGGAGCCCCCCAGCTGCCACAGCCCCTCTTCTGCCTCATGTGGCCGGGACTTCCCAGGAATGGGGCTGACCAGCTGCTGGCGGGCCTGCCGTTTTGCTTTGCTAGAATGTGGCTCCACCACTCCCCTGCTACCGCCACACGCATCTGGGGCTTCCTGGGGATGGGGCTCCGTGGCTGCCTCCCTGCTGCTGCGCCGGGACTCACTATTCCCAATGATGGAGCTCCCTGCCATTGAACTCCCAAACAACTTGCACTCCTGGGCACCAGGGCTCTCTGGGCCAGCAATATCCATTATCCTATCAGACCATGGCTCTTGACAGACCAGAGTTCTAGATTTAGGAAGTTCAACCTGTACTTGTTTAAAATAATTTTATTTAATAACGTTCATAGAGCTGTAGTGTCCAACCAGGTCTGAAGTAGTAGCTACTGCTATAATGAGCTAACTACACTCAACCAGGCAAATAGCTACATGTGACTAGCATGTAGGACGTCAGGGTCTTAGAGGCCTCAACATTTTTGTGATAGGAAACTAGCAAAGGATGGCTTTCAAAAGGGGAAGTGCACTGGCAATAAGCTAACAAGATTAGAGGAAAAGACTGGCTTGTTTATTTTTAAACTTGAATGGTATGTTTTGTTAGAAAGTTGGGAAGAAGGGAATAAGTCTGGAAGGATAAAATTAGGAAAAGTTGGATGCATGCTATCACTTCAAGGGCAAATAGTCCTGTAAAGTAAACCTAATTATGTTAATTTAAAACAAAACTTTAAGTGCCTTCCGTTTTCCTGGTAGTTAAAATGCAAGTACATATTTAAACCTAAAAACCATCAAATCTCCTGCCTGTATGCGGATAAGAGGCAGCATCTATAAAATTAGTACATTTTATGTTTAGCTTTTTTTGTTAAATGTTAACTTTTAAAAGTCAGTTTCTTTGTTTTTTCACACAAGATTGTGTGACTATAAAGCTTTGAAAAATTACTGAAGGCATATTTCCTTTAATATTAGATGACATAGTTTTTACCTGGTGGGTACCATGGTGACTTGGGCTACATCTGCAGTCCAGCAGAAAGTCCACTTAAACTACACAACTCCAGCTATGAATGAAGGAGCTGGAGTCAGCATACTTTAAGTCCAGTCACCATGCGTCTACACCATGGAGTCAATGAGAAAGCAATCTGTGGTCAATTTGGTGGGTCTTGAATAGGCCCCCTACAACAACCACCAGTGGATTGAACTCGAGCATCAATGCGGGCTGTAGTGTAGATGTGGCCTTGCTCTTTAAAGGGGTCATACACCAAATCTATAATAATGAAAAACATGACTTATTTCTTTCATTTGAACTTTTTCAGTATGTCAAAACAGTTATCACAACTGGTTCTATTTTCATTTCTTTTTTCTTATAACATCTTCACTCTTACTCGTGGGAATATTCAGTCAGGCATGCAAAGTCATTCATTTGGGTTCAGACACGATTTTTTTAATAATGTTATTGAAATGATCTTCCTTGAATAAATACTTTTTATTCTCATTAAAAACTTATTTTTCCCCCAAATCAGCAGATAACAATGACTTCACCAAATAAAGCACTAGAGCTACAGCTTCAAATGAAGCAAAATGCTGAAGAGCTGCATGATTTTGTGAGAGAATTAGAAAGCTGGGAAAAAGATATCAAGCAGATGGATTCTGAATTGAGGAAACAGAGTGGTGCCACAGAAGAGGTAAATTCAAGAGTCCAACCTCAATATCAATACTGCTATTTTAATAAAAAGTGGTGGTAGTTGTTTAATTTCTTACTTAGTTTTGTTTTTCTTTGCACAGGTTAAAATCCAAACTGTTTCTCATTTTAATGTTGGTCTAGGGATATGTCACTGCTGCTCCTCAAGGATATTCCAGAAAGACATGCCATGCAATGCAATGCAATGCAATGCTGCTGTATGTTGCGCTGGGTCAAATTCTTCTTGATATACTCTTATAAGAAGTCCTGTTGACATCACAGGGCTGCCTTCATAAGTAAGGCAAATAGGATTTGGCCGTCTACAAGTAAACTAATGCTTCTGTGTAAAACTGAAATAATTTAACAAACACTAAAATATATGGAGGCCTATGGTTTCTTTCTCTGCAGAGTAACTTTGAGGAGAATGCTGGCTCTATTGAAATAAATAGCATAACTCCTGTTGATATTAGTGAGGACAGGATATTACCCTCTGCACTCAAATGGTTAATTAGTATTGGTATGAAACTTGTCACTGACTTTCAAAAAAAAATGTTTCAGAGGAAAGAAAATACAAGGAGACTTCTATAATCAGCGCAATGAATTTTCCCAGATATGCATGTTACAGTAGTTGTTCAAGTGTTTGTTCATGTCTGTTTAATGTAGGTGTGTGTGCTTGCCACGTGAACCGGTGCCGGGAGATTTTTCCCTCAGCAGTATCCATAGGAGACCGGCGCCAGTACCCCAGGAATGGTACACATGTGCTGCACAGTATAGTGCTCTGTCGAGTCCCGTACTCCTTCAATTCATTCTTGTCACCAATGATGGTGCATAGAACTGTATGCTCCAGTTTCAGCTTTAGTCTTTAATTTTAGAGCATCATGTAAGGCGTTCCCTTTCCTCGAGCTCTACATTCCAGGGAACTGCTATCCAGGGTCTCAGACTGGATATGGGGTGCCCACCTGGGCATGCTGAGGGTGCAGGGAGAGTTGTCTGTAGAAGAGATGAACCTGCATATAAATATAAAAGAGCTCAGGGCTATTGGGAACGTATGTTGAGCAGAGTAGTTCGGGTCCTCGCAACAATATGACCACTGTGTTGCACGTCAACAGGCAGGGAGGGGCCCACTCCGCAGACTTCTGCAAACAGGTGATTTGGCTCTGGGACTCCTGTGTTCATTACAACATCATCTTGAAGGCTCAGCCTGGGAACCGTGAACATCATCGTAGATCACTTGAGTAGACCGTTCTCTTGCCACGAGTGGACTCTTCCCCCTGAGGTGGCTTCTTCTCTCTTTCAAGAGTGAAGCTCTTTGCAAGTGGACCTGTTCATGACCAGGCAGAATGTGAAGTGCCTCTGGTTTTGCTCCAGACAAGACCCAGCAGAAGGCTCCCTTGTGGATGCCTTCCTTACACGGAGGGCCTCACATACATGTTTCCTCTGGTCAGCAAGGTCCTGCAGAAAATCAGACAGGACATGGCATGAGTAATATTTATTACGCCAATGTGGCTGCACCAACATTAGTACATTCTGAGTCTCTTGGTACAGAAGCCTTGTTCTCTGCCACAAATTAATGGGTAGCAGGTTTAAAACTAATAAAAGAAAGTTCTTCTTCACACAGCGTGTAGTCAACCTGTGGAACTCCTTACCAGAAGAGGCTGTGAAGGCTAGGACTATAATAGAGTTTAAAGAGAAGCTAGATAATTTCATGGAGGTTAGGTCCATAAAAGTCTATTAGCCAGGGGATAAAATGGTGTCCTTGGCCTCTGTTTGTCAGAGGCTGGAGAGGGATGGCAGGAGACAAATCGCTTGATCATTGTCTTCGGTCCACCCTCTCTGGGGCACCTGGTGCTGGCCACTGTCGGTAGACAGGATACTGGGCTAGATGGACCTTTGGTCTGACCGTTCTTATGTTCACTCTGTCCATATCTGTTGTCCCTACATCCGAACCTGCTAGCACTCCATCTCATGGCATGGTTGTTCCATGGTTGAACCCAGAGGAGCAAGCCTGCTCCATAGAAGTGGCAAGTGTTCTTGGAAAGCAGAAAGCTGTATACTAGATCCACCTAGTTGGCACAATGGACACAATTTTTGGTCTGGGCTTCCTAAAGAGGGATCCGCCTTGCTGGAGTTCTGCTACAAACTGTCCTAGATTACCTTGTGCATCTGAAGCATGAGGGCCTGCCACTGTCTTGTTAGGGTGCACCTAGTGGTGATCTCAGCCTTTCATCCACCGATACAAGGTCACTCAGTGGTTTTCCCTTTAAATCATAGCCAGATTTTTGAAAGGTCTCGAGAGGCTCTTCTCACAGACTGCAGTCCCGCTTCCTCAGTGGGACTGCTAGCATTCTCTCCCGACTCATAGGGCCTTCCTTCGAGCTGCTGGCCTCCTGCTCTCTTTCACTTCTTTCCACTAAGGTGGCTTTTTTGGGTGGCAATTAGATCATTCAGAAGTGTCCAAATTTTGTGCCTTGACATCGGAATACCCATAAAGTCTTTTTTCAAGGACAAGGTACAGCTTAGACCTCTTCCTGCCAAAGGTGGTGTCTGCTTTCCAAATGGGCCAGGATATCTTCCTTCTGGTCGTCTTTGCCAAGCCCTATAAGACCAGTAAAGAGAGATGCTTTTACACGTTGGATGTTAGAAGAGCGCTTGCCTTTTACCATGAGAGGATGAAACCCTTTTGTAAATTCTCATCACTCTTCATGATCTACTCTGACTATGTGAAGGATCTTGTGGGGTCCTTGCGGAGGATTTCCAAATGGATCATGTCTTGTATCAGGATGTGCTATAAGCTGGCAGGGGTTCAGCTCCCCCCACTGGTGAGGACACATTCAATCAGACTACAAGCCTCTTCAGCAGACTTTTTTCCCTCGTCCCTATTCAGGATATTTGCAAGGCAATGACATGGTCCTCAGTGGACATGTTCATATCCCATTACGCCATTACGTAGCAGGCCAGGAGTGATGCAGAGTTCAGCAGAAATGTATTGCTTTCAGCATGTCCTTAAATTTCTTCCCACCTCTGCAGACGCTGCTTGGAGTCACCTATGTTGAATGGATGTGAGCATGCACTCAAAAGACAGTTATCGGTTTCCATAAGTGGTGTTCTTTGAGACGTATTGCTTGTGTTCATTCAGCATTGTTCCCTCCTTCCTCCCTGTCAGAGTTTCTGGCAAGAAGGAACTGAAGGAAGAGGGGGCCTGGCAGCATCCTATATAGCAGCCATGGCCAACCCGTGGCTCATGAGCCACATGCGACTCTGCTCATGAAGCTCCCCCAACCCCATAGCTTGAAACCCGGCTCCCTGTGCTCACTAGGGCAGGGGAACCATCCGACGGGAGCCTGATGTAGCCAAAAAGCCTCTCAGGGTTGGGTTTTTTTTTGTTTGTTTGTTTTTTTCCTTCTCGGCAAAACGCGACTGGGGCTTGCTTGTTTGTTTGTTTGTTTTGCTCGACAACTTTGCCCTGGCTCTTTGCGCTGGATTCACTGATATGTTGGCTCTTTGCCCGGAATGGGTTGGCCACCCCTGCTATGTAGCATGGCATGTGTGTACCACTCCAGGGGAGGCTGGACTGTTCCCCATGGATACTGCTGAAGGAAAATCTTCAGGCTGAGCGCACACACCTGCATTGAATGGACATGAGTAACACATCTCAAAGAACACCAGTTATAGAAACATGACTCTTTTTTTTTCCCTTTTGCTCCTCTATTTTTATCCAAAATATTATGCATATATCTGTCTGAAATTCAACTCCAGAAAATGGACTGAATCTTGTGTTACTTAGTCACAGTGAGAATCAACCATGATAAACATCTTGATGTTTGTATTTTAGATACTGCATTTTAACACTTCCTATTAGATTTATAATATCCATAAGAAAGATCTTTGTCAGTTTGTGGAACAGCATGAATATAACATTATTTGAGTGGAGTTGCAAAGCTGGGTAACAGTTTCCTTCAAAATGTTTAGGATTCAGGGAAACCTAAACTTTGAGTCTATCTTACGTCAGAATTGAAGCACTATAATGGTTTTTGCACTTTCATCTACATTTATTTACAAAGATTTTCATTTTCCAACCTATTTGGAATATTTAAAGTTTGCAAGCTCTTTTAGAAGATAAAACCAATTATTTATTTGTTTATACTAACAAAAGCTCAATCTCCATATGTCTGCCATCTTTAAAACACAGTTTTAAATC